TATGGGAAGGACACAACTAGGGAAATCAACACGGTACAAGCAAACTATAATGTTTCTGGGTTCTTAAATGATTTCTCGGTTTCTCGGTTTGTAAGATGTTTTGATGTGTTTTTCTAAATGAAAATGACAAAAAGTTGGAAACGAAATAAACTGCTGAATGTAATCTGGTAAAATGACAAACCATTAGCAGCTTCTATAAATTTTATTTTTATGTCTTTCCAGGAAAAGATGATGGAAATGATAATGAAAATCTCCCCATGGATGCTTCTTTGTGCTGAATTGCAAGCTAACCCAATTCCTTGAACCCACAAATCAAGTGTTCTCATGAGAGAGAAAGAAATGTTATTTCTGCATTTAGAATTTCTACAGAAATGCACCCAATTCCCAATGAACGCATGCTGATGAGAATGGAGCAGCTAGCAAGTGATCATATCTGAATACCAAATGACTTGTGGCTCAGAGCTGTTCGCATATCTAAAGGGCTTTGGGCAACAGCAGATTGCTCCCCATGAGCGTATAATCAACAGAAGTGGTTGAGTCCGAAGCCAAAGTAAAGACAAGCAGAAAACCTCTCCTGGGTCACCAGGCAACTATAAACTCACAGTTCGAGGAAGAGGAAGTACTCCTTTTTGGTCTCGAAGACGTCAACCAGTTGCAGAATATTAGGATGCCTCACCCTGGGAATGTGTCAGAAAACACAAACCAGAGAAAGATTGGTGTCATGAATCAAACAGGAATCCAAATCTACCATTAGAGATTAGAGGGGCAACAGAAACACCAGTGGGAATAATTCACAACAACAACCTTGAAAGAATTAGAAACTTGGAAAACACTAAATCAAATTGCAACACATTTTTTTGTTGTCTACGATATACTCTGCAGCTTTTCTGTGGGTGAAAAGATTTACTCTGTCTGGTCTGGAAAACATTTGTGCCTCTCAGTTCTTTCAAATGCTGTACTTTTCAAAACTGTTGAACAATATCTAAAACGACCGAAGCTGTGTGGTAAACTGCCCCCTGCCATCCCTTAATCACTAAATCCCACTGAGTTATTCAGTGTAGGGAAAATGGTGATTTGACACATTTATGTATCATTATCGCTGTGATGTGCGTCACCTCTGACAGGTGTGATGTTTCATAACTCTCATTAACATGTGTGGCACATCAGGAGCTTGAAAAAAGCACAGCATTACAGAATTTATGGAAACAAATATCAATAAATTTTAATAAAACATGTATAAATACAACAGTTAATAAATAAAAAGCATGTTTAAGGTATGAACTTTAAATGTATAGTTTACAAAATAAAAATAGCAGAAAATGAACTAAGGCAATCCTTTTAGAGATGTGGTGAATGGGAAAGGATTCTGGACAAAAAGAAGCATTTGGGTGTGTGTGTTTCTGTGTGTCTGTGCATGTGTGTTTGTGTGGATTAAGTCGTTATTTCATCACTTTGTGATGAGTTGTGACTATTTAAGGTGTTCTCAGCTAAACTTCCCTCTTTAGGTTCTTTATTTTATTCCATAAATTCTAAACAAAGGGATTTGAAATGATGATCAGGTCTTATTCCTTGATCTCAAGTGTGATAATTTGCTGGTTTGCAGGCAGAGAAATGGGCGGACTACAGAAATCACCTGAGCACCATCGAACTGGTTGACCATGTGAAGGTGGTATTTATAAGACTGAGTTTGTAGCAGCTCCTCGAACTGATGAAGTCTTTTGGACGAAATGTTTCAACAAAAAGAAACTGTCCAGAGGACCTGACTTAACTTTGTTAGACTTTTCCATCTGGATTATTGAGCAGGATGTAAGAAAGAAGTCATTGGCAGCACACTGGCTCAGTGGTTGCCATTGTTGCTTCAAAACATGAAGGTCCTCGGTTCAGTCTGCATGTTCACCTCCTGGATGATTTGCCAGACATACTGTTAACAATGTCATTGTAAAAGGCTTCAAAGCAGCAACCAATTGCTCAGTAATATTATGCTACTATGCATATTACTCAAATTCAAATGATGCAGGGCCAGCTGCATCATGAAGGACCCCACTCACCCAGCACACACACTTTTTGCCCCACTCCCCTCAGACAGGAGGTTGTGGAACATTAAGTGTAGAACCATTAGACTGAGGAACAGCTTCTACCCTGAGGCTGTTGGACTCATGAATATCTAACCAGGATAATCACTGTGAAAAAAAATCACTTTGATTGTTTATATGTGCTGCTGATTTTCCATGCTGCTGACCTCATGCTGCTGATTATTTCATTCTGCTGTCTTCATTTGTACCCATCTGCTCACACAGACTCATGTTCATGCTGCTGTTGTTACGTCTTATTGTTTTACATTATTAGTGTTTTGGATATATCTTAGATCTTTTAGTGTACCATTTGGCGTTCGTTTAGCGTATATCTCAGTGCACTGTATAGGCTATCTTAGATCCTTATTTACTCTCTTTTTACACTTTATATTTCTGCTATTGGGCAGCACGGTGGCACAACTGATAGAGCTTCTGCCTCTCCGTGAGCAGGTCCCTGGTTCAAATCCCGGTCCGGGGGCCTTTCTGGGTGGAGTTTGCATGTTCTCTCTGTGCATGAATGGGTTTTCTTTTGGTACTCCGGTTTCCTCCCACAGACCAAAACATGCATGTTAGACTGATTGGTAACTCTAAATTGTCCCTAGGTGTGCGTGAGAGAGTGAATGGTTGTTTGTCTCATTTGTCTCTATGTGTCCCTGTGATGGACTTGCGACCTGTTCAGGGTGTACCCTGCCCCTCTCACAGTGATTGCTGGACATGGGCACCGGCGACCCCCGTGACCCAAAATGGAAGAAGTGGGTAAAAGATAATGGATGGATGGATGGATTTCTGCTATTGTTGGATGTAACTGAGACCTTGTGTACATAATTTTGTTCCACCTCATGTACCACATGTGATGAAATGACAAAAAACCTACTTGATCTTGAATTCAAATCATCAAAGGGTTGGAGGGGAAATTTTTGCAGATAATTGACTCCTGAAAAAAGTGGTTCTTTATTTATTTATTTATTTTTTAGAGTTGGGAGTTCAATTCCAACAGCAGTCACAATTAGAAGTGTTGCTGGGCAAGACACTGAACCCCTCATTGCCTCTGATGCGTGTCTCAACAGTGTAAGAATGTGATCTAAAGCACTAATTGTCTTTGTAGAGATCTAGTAGAGTGCTGTATGAATGGGTAAATGAGGACACATTGTAGTGTAGAGCTTTGAGTATCTTGATAAGATTGAAAGGCGCTGTATAAGTACAGTCCATTTTTTTCTTAAAGAAACCACTGGGCAGTTTTTTTTTTATTCAGCAATTCATGCTGTATCTGAAGTTAGCATTTAAAAGAACAAGTCAGGAAAAGAAAATGTGTAAAACATAACAGACACCAAACAGACTCACATCTTTAGGATGAGGATCTCATTTTTGGCAGCCTTGCGGACTTTTCGCCCGTCCTTTTTCAGGAACTTTTTACATGTATACATTTTCATCGTAGTTTTGTCCTTGGCCCTGAAAATCTCGCAAAACTCCTCCCTAGGAAAAATAAATGGCACTTCAGTTTTAATCACATAAAAGAGCAAGTATAGCATCATTCTGGTTTGTAGTAGCTCTTCAAAAAGTTGCTGTGATACTCACGATTTAACAATTGGGCCCAGGTCATATTTGTCCGTCACATCCGAAGGACTGTGGTAATCCTTCTTTTCTCCGATTGTTAAACAGCCAAACGGCATGGCCACCTCTCGCCTGAGTAAAACAGAAACATGAAGGAGTGTGATCAATCAGAATACAGGGCTCTCTTTAAAATTAGCTGCACTTTTTACTGTAATATTCTTCTGAATCATGACTTTCCAAAAAAAATTAATAAATCTTCCAGTAATCCTGAGCAAGCTGTTTTATGATAAGGGAGCTGATAAGCCTCCAGAGGCTGCATTAATGAAGAAAGTCATCTCATTTCATTGTCTTCCTTGAGCTTTTCCTGATTTTACATTAACAAAAGACAATGAGATGACTATTGCGCCAAAAAAAGTTATATTAAACCATTATATTCCTATAGCAAAAGTCTGGAAATTACACTTAAACCAAAAAGCAAACTAGAGAAGGAGCAAAAATACAGCAATGGGTCAGGTTTATTTGAAAATCAAACCCAAAGATGCAGACTACACAATGATTGAGAGACGAGGAAAAGTATTTAAAGATAATCAAAAAACCAAAGGCTCATGAAGCATCCAGGCAGGAGAGAACTCAGGTGGACAGCCTGGGGAGAGTCCAGACAGAAGAGAGAGTTCTGGGTGAGGGAACTCACCCAGAACTCACCCAGCTCTTGCAAGCTGATTCTGCAAAAGAAGCCTGACCACGTTATTGGATATTGGGTTCATTGAAGGGGAACACAGCTGGACCCCATCTGTTTTGGAATTGGGGATGAGCATGGAAAATGTGTCATTCTCAACACTCTCCAAGGCTGAGACTTTGATTTTCTCAACATTACATTGAATTTGTCTTGTGACGATCCCCCCACTATGATTTCTTAGACAACAATAATGTTTTTTTTTTTTAAGGGTTTTATAGGAAAAATAATAAATAAAACTATCTGATAGTGGGTACAGGCTACCCAACTGATGAATAAATACCAACACATTGAAGAAAATAATAACCTAAAGCTCAGAACATCCATTCACTACAGCTGGACAGGCCGCAGAAGAGTCCAAAAACATTAACTGTGACATGACAGCACTGTGCATCATAAACTTAACTTCTGGTAAGATGGCGCCCATGTACATGGCTTGCAATCCACCTCTGCTGATGGTGTACGGATTATTTTTGTTTTGTTCATTTTTTTATCTAGGACATAAACTCACTCCTGATGTATGACTGACAACAGCTTCTGGATCTTTGTTTTTCTGCGGTCAATGTCGCTTATTTGGAACAATATGAGCGTACCTATGGAACCCCCCCCCCCCCCCCCCCCAATGCATTCCTGCACATCGCAGCCGGACCATTAACCACTTCACTGCTGCACGTTAAACAGATGTTTAGAACTCTGAAATGATCGTTCAGCCACCAGTGTTTCTCACCACCACTGAGGAGCTGACATCCCAGTTCAACTCTGTCTGCTTAAAGACTATGGATCATGTTGCGCCTATTAAAATCAAAAAATCAAAACTGAGAGCAGAACCATGGCTAAGTGACGTCACCAAGGCCGTTAGCCAGCAATGTAGGAGGGCAGAGCTCAAGTGGAGGAAAGACAGGCTGCATGTCTCTTTTCAAATACTTAAAGAGAGTTGGCGCCGTTATCAGAAAGCGGTGAAAGCTGCTAAATCCAAATACTTTTATGATATAATTACCTCAAACTCTCACAACCCATGTGTCCTCTTCTCTACCCTAGACTCTGTTCTTCACCTCACTGAACCATCACCTCTGGAAGCCTCGACTGAGCTGAGCAACAATTTCCTACATTTCTTTTTGGAAAAAATTGCGACCACCCGGGCTCTCATTTCCCCTCTAACTCATGACCCATCCATCCCACCTCAATCTGTAGCTCAATTTGCCCATTTTGAACCCATCACTCTATCTTCTCTAGAGCAGGTCATGTGCAGCTTGAAACCTTCTGGTTCCCCCTTTGATGTGGTCACCCCTCGACTACTAAAGGAGGTTTTTACTACTCTAGGTCTGTCCATTCTTGATATAGTAAACAGTAGTTTATCCACTGGCGTGGTGCCAAAATCATTTAAACATGCTGCCGTCCAGCCTCTCCTGAATAAAACAAACCTTGACCCCTCAGTCGTGTCCAACTTCTGGCCTGTCTCCAGCCTCCCATTTGTTTCTAAAATACTGGAGAAAATAGTCGAGTCCCAGTTGAAGTGCTTCCTGGAGGATCACGCCATGACGCCAAACTTAAATCATGTTTCTTCCAAATGAGGCGGCTGTCTAAACTGAAGCCCATATTGTCCAAAAATATCCTGGAGACAGTAATACATGCATTCATTACATCTAGGCTTGATTACTGCAATTCACTCCTGTTTGGTATCAGTCAGACCTCCATTTCACGACTACAACTGGTCCAGAATGCAGCAGCCCGATTTTTAACCAGTACAGGCAAAAAAGAGCACATTACACCAGTTTTGGCCTCCCTGCACTGGTTACCGGTTCACCTTCGAATCCAGTTCAAAATACTCCTGTATGTCTACAAATCGCTGAACAGTGCCCCCCCCCCCCCCCCCATCTCTCTAATCTGCTACAACCGTATGTCCCACCAGGTTCCCAGAGGTCAGTGGACCAGTTGCTCCTCACAGTTCCAGGAACTCGTCTTAAGCACAGAGGTGACAGGGCCTTCTCTGTAGCAGGACCAAGACTTTGGAATGAGTTACCTCTGCTTGTCAGACAGGCCCCCTCCCTCTCGGTTTTCAAGTCCTGTTTAAAAACTCACTACTATTCAGTGGCTTTTAACACCAGATGATCTGTGTTTGAACCTGTATGCTCCACGCAGGTTAGTCGTCATTATCTGCATCGTTTTTATGTCTATATTCTGATTTACTTAATTTTGTATTTTATTTTGTGTGTTGTCTGTTGTTCTGTCTGTACAGCACATTGGTTGGCCTTGTCGCTGTTTTAAGTGCTCTATAAATAAAATGGTATGGTATGGTATAAACAGTTTCATGCGTTTAAGTTCTTTTATTCACAGAAAGATAAAAGAGAAATATGTTTTTACATGCTCATCTTCTGTAGAATAATCTACAGTGTGCAGTGTAAAAATAATTCACGTTATTTTATGAATGCGTTATCATGAATAATATTATGGCGTAATATACTTTATGGGTACAAAATTAAACCAGCATTTTCATAAAATGAAGGATTCTTGCTAATGTGCTAATTACTTAATAAATCAAAACGTTAAATCCAATAAGTCAATAAAGCAACAATGCTCTGTAATGCAAGACAATTTTCAAAAGGCCTTGCTTATATAAAAGACAGTAAATTGTTTATGCTTTAAATCTGTTATTTCGTGATACATTTCCCTCATAAAGCCACCCAGGTTTTTTTTTTTATTCATGAAATAAATATTTTATAACATGACTGCAACATCCAGCAAGAAATGCTTCTAAAGAAATTGTTTTAGATATGAAGCAACATGCACAAATCCAAAGCACTGGTTCAACTCCCTGGACAGATTAAATAAATCTGGTGGGAAAACCTTGTTCCTTTCTGAACAGCTAGCAATTATGTTTGTAGATGTCCTTGAATAAAACAAAAACATTTCTCATTAATTCAGTAGAAGTGCTGAGGGGTCGTCATCACAGCACGTCTGAAAAACGACTACACAGAAAAATAAATTGTATATTCATTTCTTGGCCTCACAACAACCATCAGCACGGATGTTCTGAGTGATGGATATCCACATGTAAATAAGCACAGCCAGCATGAGAACTATAGCACAATGTGCAAGAGGAGCAATCTGTTCACAGAAGCTCCATAAACCACTTCATAATCCATTCTAGATGAACTAGGATCAGTGTGGAGATGTTGGAAGCTGCAGAAAAACAAACAGGCTCTTTATTAACCTCCCTTTCTCATATGAGGTACAAGTTTGTCCGGCGCTATCAGTGTGAGGAGCTGACCTTTCCACCATGTGCATGTCACACTACAGTACGGGCTTTGGTTCAGTTTTATTTAGAGGCGTAGTGCTGCAAAGACAAACAAAAAACAACTAAAAGGTAGCTGTGGTGTAAAGGGAGGCAGGTTGGATAGAATGACTAGCTGACAAACCAAACTGAGAAACTGAGACAAAATTAGACCTTTATTTTATTGTTTTTATTATTCGCTTAAAGTAAACCAACTTCTGTATTGCTGAAATTGTGAAGTGTCCGTCCTCGTCTCATTATTTTCTATGAAGCTGTTAGCATTACTCATAAAGCTGCCAAAAACTACAGTTCTGACATCATTCTCAAACACGACCATGAGTTGTACGACATGCGCAGTAAAAGTATGTAATGTATTTTGGGAAAGCTGGGAAATAAATTTTTTTTGGGTAAATTTAGACATCATGTGATGATTTCTAACAGTTCTGGAGTCTTACTTGTTTACATCTGAGGAAACAGAAAAGCTCTCACTAAAAACCTCACAATAAAAAAAAGATCCAAGATGGCAGACTGTATTCATGTTTATTCATTTCAGTTTAAAGGAAATGAACAAAGAGACACACTATTTCCTAAAAATGTCTATATTGTGAGTTTACTGCCAGTATGCCACTAACCTGATGGAGGAGGGGAGATGAGTGATTTGTTTGCTCACATGCTAACTCCTGGGACACTTTATTTGGTTTAAAATTATTTTCTGCCTAACAAAACAATGATTGTTGGTTGACCTCAAACAGTGATGTCATCAGCTGTGAAAGGAATACATCCAGGATTTTCTCAATCCCACCAAAATTTCTTCCATAGAGCAAGCTGAGTCTGGGGTCTTTGGATGGGTTCTTTTGCTGGAAAGTCCCATTCCTTAGCCCCACTCGTTAGGTCTACTCAGGGGTTCTGGAGAAGAGAGTTGGATCGTTGGGCAAGCCTCAATTCAGAAGGAACTCTGCAGGTTCCATGCCAGCCAAGGAACACTGGACCAGCTCTTTACCCATGCTAAGCTCATTCAGGGGAGATGGGAGTTTGTCCAACCAATCTACATGGGTTTTGTGGACTTGAAAAGTCTTGTTTCTTGGGGTACCTTGCAGGGTGTTCCATGTCTAGCAAACAGGGGATCCT